CTAAACTTACTGACTCAAGGGGGGATAACTTTGGCACAATATATGTTCTTAAAAGTTCATTGAGATCAACATCCTGAAGTAACTGATTTTTCTTATAGAAGTTTTCATAGTAGTTTTTAGTTTCCTTTAAGATTTCTGTTTGATCTAAAATTACAGTCCCATCCTCCATAGTTATATTAGTAATTATCTTACTAGTAAAGTTACGTGATTCTAGCCCACAAAAGTATTTTGTTGGTTTTTCACCTTCACTTATCCACTTGGCCCTTGACCGTATCATGTTACCTGCTATCTTATGTTTTCTAATTTCTTCTAATTCTTTTTTCTTTTCATCTATGTTTTTTAAATCTGTATTATAAGTAACTGTTTCAAAGTTTTTAATTTGATTTATGAGATCCTTTTCTCTTTCATTAGATTTTTTTCACATAGCTCGAAAAGTATTTATAAAAAATGTTTCGGGTTGTGTTTTCTAAGATACTCCAGCATAGCTCCCTCCTGTCGCTGATATTCTCTCTTCAGTCTTAACTCAAATTTTCTATAATCAGGTTTTTTTCTCAATTAATATTCTATGAATATCCGCAGTTTTAAAAGTGTTAAATTTATGTAAGGCATCTTTGTATATCTTATATTTCTGCTAACATGGAAGATTAAACCAGGGTTTATTCTCATGCTGAATACTTTTTTTCTTTGAGACATTATCAGTATATATATAGATACATACATATACCAAGCAACTATATTGTCATTATGGATAAAAACTAAGTAAATCTACTTTTTTTTCTCTCCTCTATTTGCAAGGTTTTTTTTCTCTTCTTTTTTTTCTTTTTTCTTTTTCATTTGCTAATATATTTACAATCATCACCGTTTCATGAATAAGTATTGCTTTCGTCGGATATCTCTCTTCCTCTCTTGTTGCTCTTATGTTTCTCTTATCCCTGTCCCTCTTTTTCTGGATTAATTTCTGCTTTTTAACCAAACTATCCCCCAATCCCTGTTTCAACTAATTCCAGTCAATTTATTGTACATTTGTTATTCTAGGCGTATGTTATGCAAGTTATATTTGTGAACCAAATTTTAAATTAATGATAAACAGGTTTTTACAACAACAACAAAAACAAAAACAGCGTCAGCAAAGTATAATTCGAACTCAAAATCGATAAAAAGGCAGATAGGAACAACATATATATTTGCCGTATAGTTGCTTTTGTTCACGAGTATATTTAATTTCGCAAATGCGTTAAAAATCATGAAAATTCCACCCTACAGATTTTTTTGAGACCGTCGCCAGATAACAGTTGAGCTGAGACTACTAGGTCAAAACATCGTTTTTGAAGGAGGTACACTATACAACAAAAGTGAACAGTTAGAATAAAAATAAATAAATAAAAGGTCGGAAATAGACATGAATACCATTGAAAAAGTATGAGGAGAATAATACCTAACCCTAACCCTTAACTATCACTTCATTCTCTACACTTTTCACTATTAATGTTAGCACATGACCCGATTAAGACTCGTCTGAACTTCTTTATGACCCTACAATAGACCCTAGCGATTTACCGTACGTTTCACATATGTGTTCCAGTCATGCACTTTACTGCTAAGTTGTCAATAGTACCATAGCTTTGCTGTCACCCAACACCTCAGTTGAAATGAAATTCAAAACCAGTCTGAACCTAAGTCTTTGTCGGCGGACTGATGGGTAAGGCGTTTATATTAACACCACCTGGTATTGTCAACTTGCCAAGATACTATTCCGTCTTTGCGTATTGCAGAGTTATCTTCTCTTGGGAGCAGGTATTGATTGTTACGTCATTGGTTTGTGTGAGAAAATTGCGTCGTTTTCCCAAAAATTGATGACGTTACTCTCACAAACAAGTGACGTAACAATCAATACCTGCTCCTAGGAAAAGATAACTCTGCAATACGCAAAGACGGAATACTAACACGAAGGGACATGACCGACCGTACAGTCCACAATAACAATGTTGTTAAGCACGCTAGTGGATACATCAGGGATTTACGAACAAGTTGTTATCCTTTTAAATAGGTTTTGAAATACAACGAACAGAAGACGTGTAGCTATACATTTCATTCATGATAACAAATGATTAAGATATGTACTGTGACTGAAATATTTTAACTCTTAAAAATATAGATATTTCTTTATTAACTTGCATTACTAAGCAACATTTCTATTTAACATTTTATAGATATATGGCATTGATATCTTTTTCCAATGTCTTCGTTATTACATTTTGAAAGATTGGGACCATATCTTTTATTGTCTAAAAGATATCGTTTGCACTGTGTTTCATTGAACAAAATAATAATTAAATAAAAAAAACTCTTTAATGGAATCGCCCCATCAACCTAAAAGTTCATTTAAGAAGAAACAGTACGTATTAAAAACAAGTATTCGGCATGCCTTTCAATTAAGTAAATATGAAGAAAAGTAAGTTATCATGATTTATATATAAATCGTTAAATTAGCAACAGCTGGTGAAAATAATAAAGATTTTTTTTATTGATAATAAGAGACAACACACAAACACATATTGCGTGAAATTCGTATGTTTGATCGACCTTAGAAAATTAAAACTGATATTCACTAGAACATTTCGACTTTTCATAATGACAGGTCCTTAATTCGTAAGGCACGGCAACTGGAGCAGGTTTTTCTTAGGCCCAAATATTTAACCAGAATGTTACACGCTCATATTTCAGTTACTGTTTTACACACATGATCAACCTGTATCGAGTGTCATCGAGGAGACACCCATATCTTCTACGGCTACAGAAATTACTGTCCATACTTACACATGCCTCGAGTGTGTCACAAATTTTACCCAAAGTACCGTATAGCTATTAACAAGCGAGAAAGATTGAAATATGATATCTGACAAAATCATTTTAAAACAGACATTTCAAAGGACTATTCAATGCATAGAACAGAGGCGAATACAAGATTATAATAATATATAATTGCTTACCGTATTGACCTCTTGTGTTGTTTTCTAGACTGGTTCTGCCGAGGAGATAGAGAAGCACTCAAGCAGCACACTAGCGCCCATCATGTATTTATTTCCATCCAATCCCAATACGAAACCAATTCCGGCATAACTAAAATCCGGAATCCTTAGGTAGAACTTCATAATTTTAATTTGGCTATAGACAAACACAAAGTGTGCCAGTATTTTTTCACGACCCCTAATATACTCAATAAAGAACAAATCCTGCAGATGCAAAACTTGCACGGAGGAGTAAATTGTCGTGTGAAAGACATGAATCTATAATTCAAATCATACCAAATGGTAATATAGTATAGTAGTAAGTAGTAACCTATGTGACTCCTCTGCTGTGAGTAACTTTACCAGATTACTTACTTTAGATCCTGAACTAAAGAATGATAGAGTTCTTCGCTTATCACACTCATTTTACCTTTGCAAATAAATACAAGAAACACCACTTACTCGAACTCACATTACTCGATTACTCTCTGTTCCTCGAACAGTTCGCTTGGCTCCGACCATGCTCTAATATATGTGTGTAAATTAATCTCGGATTAATGAACTACCAATTTCTTGAATACTCGGTGATCCTCGAACTATTTTATTCCTGACCATTGATTTTTTTTTTTAACCTATCCATTTGTCGAACAGGTAGTGGCACCTGTGTATCACACATACCGCGTACCATCGTGCTATCGAGATACCTCGATACACTGACTGCCCTCCACCCTCATTGTGTTTATTCAGGTTTTGGCCGGACTAAGAAGATTAACGGCAGTAGATACCCGTGGCGATACCCAGTAACAGCTGATTTCTAACGTTGAGTGCATATTTATTATTTACCAATGATGTTTGACATCGATGTTTTAGCGGAGTGTTTATTCACTGGGTTCAGTTAAGATTTTGTACAAAAGAATGGTAGTTATTCGCTTAACAACTTTCATGTTATCATTGCAAGTAAATATATATATATCATTTTACATACTACATACACTCAAATATCGCTAAACGATGTGTTAATGCTAAAACAGATTAGGACAGAATCAATTACACTCGGTCAATTACGATTAGCACTAACATGAATTATTTATTTTGAATAAATAAAAAGTACGTTGATGACGTCATAGGTAATTTGAAACACTGCTTTACCTGTCATTGATAAATGAGAATACGATCAAGAACTGATGTAAATAACATCAAAATGATTATGGAAAAAAAATGAAAATTCAATAGAATTGTAACATAATTTTATCGGGCAAAAACCTGTCAACTTTCTAGGTATTATTAACCTTATCTCCTCTGAAAATAAATAGCAAATGAAAAAAGTTTTCAAATCTCATAGCAGACATATTTAATTCAAGAGAGCAATATAATGGAAAATCATATAAATGCTCATTAATTAAGTTCATATTTACTGGGGAACTTAACAGAACAAGTAAATCGATAACAGACCGAAAAACTCCAGTCGGTCATAATAATACTTACAGATGCATACACCTTATCTGATTTGGGAAATTTCAAATGTTTCTATCACTTACTCAAAAATTTCAGTTATATTTCAGTAATTTTGTGGCAGGTTTTGATTAACCACGGTCGACTTCTTTTTAAATCTTTCTTGTGTTTATATGTTGCCTTAGTTTTAATTGGTTTCTTGTTTTGATTTCAGGTTTTTGTGACACTTCAGCGTGCTATTGTTGTTATGCATTATGTCGAATTATGTAAACAAAGTCCTCGCATCCAAGACATGGTTATCATATGTCATCCTGGTAAGTGGATTGCGAATTTAAATGTCTCGCTCATAACAAAGATATTTGAACATAATACCTCTACTGCACTTGTATTCATTTTAATCCAATCAATCATTAACTGTTGTTTTGATGATTGACATTTTCGCAAAGGTTTCATTAAATAGAATTGCGTAAAATTTGTTTATACAGTTACACGATACAGGATACCTCTCTCAATTTATTATTATAAGATGATGACAGAATATCACAAAAAAAAAATTGCGCTTTATTCAATATCGGTGACCTTACGACACATAGGGTTACCCTGGTCGCCATGGACCCAGGTGTCCAGATTTTCGTATAACCGCTGGTAGTTTGTAGCCCTATGCGCATGCGCACACAGCCGACAGATTGCCCGGTCACCGGTTGGTTCATTATAGTAGAATTTTCTCCATTGAAAATAATTTTCAAATTCAGTTTGATTGTTTGCAAGACCCTTCTGAAATGCTCCTAGACTTGAAATGTCGTTGAATTTCGTAGTATCAATGTACGAATGTGGAGGGGCAAAAATCGAATAGTCAGGGACCCCTCTCACTACAGGAATAACGTCAACTTTGGAGGCGTATATCTTAAAACACTTTTCTGTGACGTAGTCGCGGCACAAATCGTTTTCAAATGAAAGATAAAATTTATATTTTTCACTTAATAGTTGATCACAGTTTTGTATCGCATTTGTAGGGCATCTACTTGGTCCTGTTCGTGAATAGATGTCCACATTTATGCTTTTATTCAACTTCCTTGCGAATTCGGCTCGTCTGCTTGGTACGTTTCGATGCGACACAAACCAAGCATTACCATGCGTCTTGTCTTCCCAGTTGCTGCGCAGTTTGACTCTTTCTGTATCTTTGACTTTCTTGAACAACATTGTGCCATACACGTGTGTGAAATCTGCATCTCTTCTATAGGAAATTGTCCAGTTTATTTTACGATTCCACTTGTGTAATCTAGGCTGCAGAAACGGCGGCTCTAAACTGTGGTATATCCAGACCTGACCAGATTGTTTCGGAGGCGGTTCCTTAGGAAGATTTCCGTTCCCATCAAATATAACAAACTGGCTGGTGGAATATTTTTTGTACTCTTTGCCAAAGGATATCAAACAGTTTTGCGGACACTTTTTGAACGTATCCCGCCCGACCCACTCTGGAGGGTTGTAGTAATGTATGCGGACCGCGCGCTCACTCATGTTACTGTTGTTATTCAAATTCATATTTACATTATAAACTAACAGAGAAGAGCTATCGTCCTGATTTTTACTTTTAGCAGGTACTAAAATATTTGCTGAAATCGATCTAACAAAGTTTTCATCTTCACATAACCAAAAGTACGAAACCAAAACTCCAAGGTACAGTAACACACTCAGCATCAGTATCAATATCAACCTCTGGATGTTCGGAGACAACCTGTAAATAGATAAAGGATTTGTAGAAACGGCCACACAAGTAATGATTTATCTTCATTAACATAAAGAATGAGAAATCCTACTTTACATAATTTGGAAAATAATACATTTACTTTCAGATTATAAAGGTGAATATTAGTGTCTTGATTCATTGTAAATAATTTCCGGAATTATGCCTCTAGTAGCTATAGGATCAAAGGTTTCTTGTTCAACGCCATAAGAGGCGATTTCTTTTATCATAGTAATTGTTTTCATACTTTTTTTTCCAATGTCAATCTCAAGATAATCTCGCATATCTAAACTACATTGATTTTTTTTTATAAAAGAAGGAACCAGCACACCCTACCCCAGCAAAAAATAAATTCAAAAAACGTATTCTCATGCATTAAAATCAACTAAAGACTGACACTACATGCAAGGCAAAGAACAGGTCTGCCCCGTACCAGACCAGGACCTTCTCCACACCCTCTCATACTAGAAATACACTTTACACAACTAGGCATCAATAAACTACTCAACAACATCACCCCACACAAAGCAAAAGGGCCTGACACTATATACGGCATAATACTTAAAGAGTTAAGTGACATCGCAGACCCCATTCTCACAAAAATTCTTCACCCGCTCGCTCACAACAGGAACACTACCATAAACGTCAACCCAGTGTACAAAAAAGGAGACAAGTACAGCCCAAAACATTACAGACCAATATCGCCAACCTGCATTACATGTAACCTCATGGAACACCATCATAACAAGCGCTACAATGACACATCTGGAGAACAACAACATATTATACATTATGTATGACCTACAACATGGCTTTAGATCCTCCAGATTGAGCGAAACACAGCTCACCGCATTTATACTCGATCTTGCATCAAACAACAATATCAACAAACAGACAGACATCAAAATGGATTTTGACAAAGATTTTTGACAAAGTCCCATACAGACGACTACTGTACAAACTCAAATATTACCGAATAACAGGGAACACATAAGCATGGATTACATTCTTTCTCTCATTTCTAACCCAAATAGTAGATTACAAGTAATATCTAGGGGCCCTCAATGAACCTGTTTGGGCCCCATCCTCCTCCTCGTGACTTCCACGAATACATGCAATACAGTACACTGAGACTCTTTGCAGACGACAGCATCATATACATACAACATGACCTTGACGCAGCAGGACAATGGGAGACGGCCTGGCTGATGAAATTTTACCTTGACAAAGCAACATACTCAACATTACACCGAACGTAACAAAATACACTACGACTACAAACTCCACAACCACATATTAAATCAAGTAGATTCCAGCAAATACCTAGGCTTAACTTTACAAAATAACTAACAATTGAACAATCATACAAACAACATTACAGCCAATGTCAATAGGTCCCTAGGTTTTCTAAAACGCAACTTAAATATTAACTCACCACATATAAAAGAACACGCATACAAAGCACTAGTCAGACCAGAACTTGAATACTGCTCTTCTATATGGGACACATACAACACAAACCAAACTCAACAAATAGAAATAGCACGCCATGTCAACAACAGATATCACAAAACCAGCTAACAACAGATATCACAAAACCAGCTAACAACAGATATCACAAAACCAGCTAACAACAGATATCACAAAACCAGCTACGTAACAGACATGATTCACCAACTACAATGGCCAACACTACAAACACGACGCTGAGAGGGTCAAACGTTTCGTTTAAAAAAAAGATAATTTTGCTTGAACTTCAAACGTCGTGTTTTACTTAAATATCCATTATCATATTTCTTGTCTTGAAATAACAATTTCAACATGCATTGCACAAGATCCAGCAAGGCCAACTTAATCCTTGTCAGGAGCGGATTTGTGACAATAAAGCTATTACCATAGTGACAAGCGTCCCAACATGGTGACGAAAGGTTTTGACGTCATACACTGGCAGTACATTGATGACGTCAGACAGCGCCATACACTACAACGATACAGAAAAAAAACATAATTAAAAAGACGTTACAGGTTAATACCGTCTGTAATGTATGGGTATCATGTGCGGAGATTATGCCTGATGGTGTAGTATGTCTGGTCAGAAACGAGGCTTTGATTTCACGAAATTTGGTTAAAACAGACAAAGACATTGCAAACGCAACACTATTTTTACCATGTACTCTATTTTCCAGACAATGTAGAATTTAAATCCAGTGGGGTTGACCATTCAATTTGACCCGATAATTAGACATAAAAGCTATCTAGCAGTACAAACATGTTCAATATAAACGGATCTGGGGGATTTATTTTAAATAAGTTGGATCAAATCTTGGTAACCAGTTACTCGAACAATCTTCCGATCGAGTAACCGGTTGGTCGGTCAATTCGGTAATCAAACAACAGTATTTACATTTGCATGGCATTGTCACTATATAGCCTCTTTGAAAGCTGTGTCGTTGATGGGACTTTAATTACCATGCAGCACGAGACACAATTCTTAGCGTATTCAACACTGACTGGAACTACAATAACCAATGTAAATAAACACGACGGCTGCTGAAATATCGCTGGGCATTGTGAGAGTTGACAATGTCATTGTAAATTTATGTGCAAAAGAACAAAGTAAATAAAAAATACTTTTATTAAAACAAAAAGAATACCAAGGTCTGCAATATCGTACAAAATGCACATCGGTTGAAATCACCAATCTCGGCATTGGAAACAATTTTAACACTCATGCAATTTATCAGAAATATCGTCTGTTACACTGCACTGATCAACAGGGGTTCGTTACAAATGTCTGAAATACACATATTCTATAGACCTACTGACACATATGTTACAGACCTACTGATATGAGTCACAACATACATAAACATTTCAGACATTTGTAACGAACCCCTGTGCTGCGTCGCAAGATCACTCACTTCAAACGATATCAGTTTCACGCGTCTCGCAGCCACGGTTACCTCAGTTTCTGATCACGACATGTCAAATAGGCTGTTATAGAATCTACCTACTATAGTCAGATTCCCATACAAGCAAAACATAAATTCTCGTCTGGATTCTTCACAAAATGATCAAAGAGAAACTTTCGAATTAACTTCCAAAAATAACTCCCTCGTGGAGGTCAAGGTCGGATTCACGGTGTTCACTGTATTTATCCATGCGCGATATTTGTTCCGTGGAAACATTGGAACAATTTAAAATCTAACTTTCAACTCAGATTTCTATTGATAAACTTAAATCATCCTATAGACATATCATACGCAATTGTATTAATATTGTGGAATAAAATTGAAGTGTTTGTTAAAATTTCAAAGTACTATTTTGTTCGCCAATCAGCACGCGACAATACGCTGTCCAAACTATTGAACGAATTTGTTTGGACTGTCGATAAGGCGGGCATTTTTAATTCTAAATATAAATTATCAGTTAAAAAACAACATAAGAGGCAGAGAAAACGTAAATATAAGTATTGAACTGTTTTTGTATGGGATTTATGATCTATTTGAATGACACAGCTTTGCAAGCAATCAAATCATAATGCGCTAGAGCTGTGTAATTCAAATAGATCATAAATACCATACAAAAACAGTTCAATACTTAAAACAACGACAATACGTTATGTGTTTTTACGAATTTACACCACATACATACATCTATATATCAATTAGCATAAGTATAGTGAACTCGTGTATATTCAAGCTGAACGCAGGGAATAGCTACATGTAACCTCAGTAAGTATATTTCATGGACAGCCAATGTCGGAATACAGTAAGGCGGGATTCAATTACAGTTACTGTACTCGAAATCATATGTAGTGATATTGTTCTTTACAACAAAATTTCATCGACACACATTTTAATACATGTTTGCTCATTGAAGTGTGTACTCTTCATATTATATTTACATCTATGTATGTATACGCGAAATCTACATGTACTTCTAAAAGTTGATATTTCACAACTTGATATTTACATTGCGCTGCAACCCACAATATGAACATTACCAGCAGAAATACATTTCATTTGTGTATATTTACATTTGCGCTGCAACCCACAATATGAACATTACCAGCAGAAATACATTTCATGAAAGCCTTGTCGCTTCGCTTCGGATAATATGGAGAAATACACTGCGTCAAACGCTGAAATGACTACGGCTAATTATTGGCGCTAATTCTATTTTAAATAGGCTGATCCGCCAATATCGTTTAAAGGACGCCGCATATACAAAAGCAGTAATAAATAAATGATTTAAGAACAAATACAAGTAAATTTACACAATTGTTCTTTAGTAAAAATGTATTCTGGCTTCCTTTTAAAATCTGTTCTGGGTTTTTTTCTTCTTTAGCTGGCGGCATCTCTTTGTCAGTCTTTACATTAGAGTATAAAGGCAATACTAACATGTCAGCCTGAACACTGTTATTACAAAAACTATCCTATTCTGGTCGCATATTTAGATAATGTGTAGGTCTTAGCCAGGGAAATATGGGGCTCCCAAAATGGGGGTAAATAATCGTCCGACTAGTCGGTAATTTATTTTTGGTAACCGCTTCGTGGTGTTCCGACCAAACTAGTAACCGGCTAATTAGCTAACCGTTGACAATCCTATTTAAATTGTATTCATTGTCTATGCATGAATAAATTTAAACAAGATATCCCAGAGGGAAAATGGCGTCTACCATCATAGAATCGTGAAGAAGTTCAGTGTATAGCTCTGGATCTTGTTAATACGAGTACGTTGTTTGTATCCAGTCGACCGTGGCATGAGGTGTGCACTTTTGGGGTGTTCTCCGAGTGCCAACATACTTACCAACAATAGACACGGGTTGTTTTATGAAACAATGGCAAGTTATATACTGTTTCATACAAAGGTTGTATTTTCACCTAAACATTCAATGAGATTTACCTGGTTTTTTTATCATACTTTACACACTTTCTTAGATAACGTTTGCTATGATAGAAATCTAACGTTATATATCTTAAAATGTTACCTACATCTTCTAAGCACTGAAAAGCGTCACCTTATCTTTTGAAGATTGAAGAAAAAAATATAAATAACATAAAAAGTCTGAAATAACAGTGAAATATTCCTATTACTGTGCCAAATATGTAGTCCCTAACCATTCTTTTATTATATGATTTTGCTGTAAAAGTAATGATTAAAAATTATTTATAAAAGACAAAAAATGTTTTGATGAGGAAACATGTTCCGTCTTTGCGTATAGCAGAGTTACCTTCTCTTGGGAACAGGTATTGATTGTTACGTCATTGGTTTGTGCGAGAAAATTACGTCGTTTTCTCAAAGATTGATGACATTACTCTCACAAACAAGTGACGTAACAATCAATACCTGCTTCCAAGAGAAGATAAATCTGCAATAAGCAAAGACGGAATACATATATGCATGTATGACGAAGGCTGTAATGTTTAAGCACAATGAGCATTTTTATTTAGCACAAATGAGCGATTTTTTTCCTGAAAGTTAAATGCCTGAAATTAATCATGAAATGCCGAAAATGAACGAAAATCTCAAAAGAAAGGACTCAATGAGAATAAAAGAATCGTTCACCCCCTTGGGGGTGAGACAGGGTAATCTCAACCCGAGGGGTAAGCTTCTTAAGTTGTCAAACACGAGGCTTGCCGAGTGTTTGACAAACTTAAGAATCTTACCTCGAGGGTTGAGATCACCCTGTCTCACTCCCAATGGGGTGAATAATTATTTTTCTCTTACCCTGTTTACCCTTGTATTTTATATAGACGTTACATCAATGCAAGACAATGTTGATGTGATGCGGCTGAATTGTCGACGTAACGTCATTGTATTGTTGTCGTGACGTCATGGTATTGTTGCTATGACGTCATACAATTGTTCAGAACGTGCAAAGAACACGTGTAGCTTGTCTCAACCCTAGGGTGAGATTAATAGAATCTTTCACCCCCTTGGGGGTGAGACAGGGTAATCTCAACCCGAGGGGTAAGCTTCTTAAGTTGCCAAACACGAGGCTTGCCGAGTGTTTGATAGCTTAAGAAGCTTACCCCGAGGGTTGAGATCACCCTGTCTCACTCCCAAGGGGGTGAATGATTATTTTTCTCTAACCCTGTCTATCCTCTTATGTATTTTGTATAGACGTTACATCAATGCAAGACAATGTTGATGTGATGCGGCTGAATTGTCGACGTAACGTCATTGTATTGTTGCCGTGACGTCATGGTATTGTTGCTATGACGTCATACAATTTTTGAGAACGTGCAAAGAACACGTGTAGCTTGTCTCAACCCTAGGGTGAGACTAATAGAATCTATCGCTACTGAAATCTCAACCCCAGGACTAAGATTTTTTGTCCAGAACGAGGCTTGTCGAGTTCTGGACAAAAAATCTTAGTCCGAGGGTTGAGATTTCTCTATCTTACACAACCAGTAGCGATTGTTTATTTTTCTCCAATATCTAACAGTATTTTAATGTGAAATAAAGGTAAACATGGACCCAAAACACATACAGGCAATTTGTTGATGGATTGTTGACGTGACGTCATTGTATTGTTGAAGTGACGTAATGCCATTGTTATGAATAGGGGAATCCCACCGTCTCAACCCTAGGGCGGAGACAGATAAATCTAGCACCGGCAAAACGGGAGATA